CCGACTTAGAGTGTAGACTTACTCAGTCACATACCTGACATGGCAAACTCTGAGAACTATGAGAAACAGAGGGTGGGGTCCCTGGTCTGGGATGCTGTCAGGATCAGCCCCCAGTTTTCAGTGTCACTCTGGTTTCAAGTTCTTCTTTCAATTCTATGAGCGATCTGAGGCTCCTTCCGGTATCTCCCCTTTGATGACCTAAGCTAGTCTGAGTGGGGTTCTCATTTCCAACCAAAATGTCCCGACTAATCCTTGGTAGTCTGGTCCTAATAAGACATCTTTCCCAGGTAACAGAGTTCTTTACAGCTTACCCGGTATTTTTCGAAGTTTTACAAACTTTTATCTCTTTGGATTTTTATTACAAGCTTGTGAGGTGGGTTTTAGTATTACCTTGACTTTACAGATAAGAACAGCAGGGCTCAGGAATATAGAGTGGTTTGCTCAAGATCAAGATGTTGAGAACTAGGAGAGCTTGGACACCAACTCCCTCTTCTGTTCAATCTCACCCTGACCTGACCACTGACCTGTAAACACACACAGAAGCTGCAGACTGCAGCACTGGGGACCGACACAAGAGGGCTATGGAAGAAGTCAGGGGAAGACAAAGGGCAAGCTCTTCCAGTTAAAATTTTATCTGTGGCAGCGTCAGGTCTGGAAAAAAGAAGAAAAACTCTCAGCTTCTTTCTTTTCCTCCTTCCTGTACTGTTTTTTGTTCCCACAATCCGTACGTTAGGCTTGCAGTCTGCACTACAATTCAGTTATATGCTTGGCAATTATGGTTCTAGGTGCTAGCCAGGAAAGTAAACCACTGGTTACAATACAACCCTTTTATGAGTTGGGGCTGTCTATATTGAATTCTTTTTATTTTTTAATAAAGGAGAAAACAATACACCTGTTTTACAGTTTGACTCTCTGAGGCTCTCGCAAGCCACTCCATGTTGCTGTAAGAATGGGTCAGATAGGCTGGGCGTGGTGGCTGTAATCCCAACACCTTGGGAGGCCAACGTGGGCAGATCACGAGGTCAGGAGTTCAAGACCAGCCTGGCCAACATAGTGAAACCCCATCTCTAGTAAAAATACAAAAATTAGCTGGGTGTGGTGGCACGTGCCTGTAGTTCCATGAATCCAGGAGGCAGAGGTTGTAGTGAGCCCACGCCATTGCACTCCAGCCTGGGTGACAGAGTGAGGCTCCATCTCAAAAGAAAAAAAAAATGGGTCAGATAAAGCTTTGTGGGTCTCTGCTGCAGCTGGGAATGGCAGGTGAGTGTCAGATGTGACTGTCTGGGGCATGGCAGGGATGGCCATGCTGGCTTTGTGGGTACTCCCACCACACTTTTCATAGCCTGCAGCAGTGTGGCCAACTGTTCCAGAAAGGACACATCTCCCAGACGCTGCTTGGGCCAGCAAGATCTCCAAAACCACTCAGTCCATGGTTTGCAAAGCTGGCTTCCCCATCTCCTTCTTCCTTGTTCTAGCTCATGACCTCCTGCACATCCAGGATTAAGCAGAAATCACCAGGTGTGAGTAATCATCTTCCCAATCCCAGCCTTTACTAGAAAACTCCTCTTGGCCTCCACACTGCTCTCCTTAACAATGGTGGAGGTGTCCCTCTGTAGGAGGTGACCCTCATCAGTGCCCACACCCTATCTCCTTTCATCTGCTCTTCCTATCACGGCCCCTGCCTTCTTCTTAGATCATTCCTATCACTGTGCAAGCCTGCTTCAGTGACTCCCATATTTTAACGAACCCCTCTTTATGATAACAAATGTTAGAAATAGATGTGGCTACATGTGCCATAAAATAGAGGATTAAACAAGACAGAAATGTCCTTCTCCCATAAAGAAAGTCAAGAGGTAGGTAGTCCAAATGTGTGCTGGCTCCCTACACATTAGGATCCACATTTATTCTCACTTCCACTAACATCCTCAACACTTTGGCTTCCACTTAAGATCCAATATGGATGCTTGAGCTTCAGCTATCAATATATCCTACCCGGCAGGAAAGAGTAAAGCACATGTCTTCCCTTTAAAGCCAGTTTTGAATTTGCACATGGACTCCTACACTTACTTCCTATTAGGTGGAATGAAGTGTAGCTGCAAGGGAGGCTGAGAAACTTGCCTTTATTCTGGAAAGCCATCTGGTCAGACAGAATTGGAAATTTTATCATGAAGGGAAGAGAGAATTACTACTAGGGGCATCTAGCAATCTCTACCAAAGCATCCTATGCTTCCATATCCTTTCTAGATCCCTCCCAGTTCTCCATTCCCTGTTAGACAAGTTGTGCAAACATGGTAGTTCTACCACAGCCTGGCTTCCACTACTCCAGGAACACCGCCCTTATCATGTTCACCAACTGCCTTCATGTTGCCAGAGCCAACAGGCCTCAGTCCTCATCTTATCTGATCTCTAAGCAGTATCTAAGACAGCTGACAACTGCTTTCTGGAAACATTTTCTCAGTCTCTAGGATACAGCGCTCTCCTGATTCTCCTTCTGCCCCCCTCCCCCAGCCTCTTTTTCAGTCCTCTTGCCTGCTTTGGTTCCCCTGGGTCCCTCCTGAACTCTCTCCTCTTCTGCATCTACCACCTCACCCTGTGTGTCCTTCTCAGATCCCATGACCTTGAGCATCTTTATGCTGATGTATCCCAAAGCCCCTTTCCAGCCCTGGCCTCTCTTCTGAGCTCCTAGTGATGAGATAACTCCACTGGATCTCTAACAGGCATCTTAAGCTCCATGTGGCTTGAACAGAATTCCTGATATAACTCCCTGAGATGTGGTTGCTGCTTTTTGATCCAATAAATGAAGCACTGTCCACCCACTTACTCCAGCCAGAAACTTGAGTTATCTTTGGTTTCTCCATTTCCTGCCCCCATGTCCTTCCTATCAATGTGTCCCGTTAAGTCCAAAATAGCATCTCTCAACTACTCATCTTAGCATGACCACCACTTTGGTTCAAACCACCATCATCTTTGGCCTGGATTGTGGCAAGCCTAATTGGCTCCCTGCTTTTATTTTTGCCTGACACCCACACACAGCCTTAAATCAGAACATGTTAGTGTTCTGCATAAAACCCTTCCAAGGCTCAACAAAGTCTCCATTCTTTGACACAGCCCACAGGTCCTGCATGCTCTGGCCCCCGCCCACCTTCCCACTCCATCCTGGGCCTCTTCCCCTAGGCTTGAAACTTCAGCTACACTGATTTTCTTTCAGCTCCTTGACCCATGCAGAACTTACCCTGAAAAGGCACCTACTGCTCTCAGCGAGGAATGTCTCTGCCCAACTTTTCCCAAGGCTAACTCCTCACTCTTGACTTCAAGTTCAGCATCACCTCCTCACTTTCCCTGACTGCTTCATCTTAGGTAGCTTTTATTCTCTATTCTAGCCCCTTGTTTTTGTCCCAGCCTTTTACTTCAACTTGTAATTACGTATTTGTCTTCTCCACTAAAAATTAACTTTATCGGGCAAAAGGCCTCAGCTGTCTTGTTCACTGAAGTATCCCACCATGCACACAGGGCCTGGCATATATCAGGCACTCAATCAAGCACTCACTATCTGCTGAATGAACGGACAGGTTCCCAGGGAGGTTCCTGAGCTGCCTGGGGTGTCACAGACAGGTTGCATCCCCCTTAATTAAACAAACAAAATTAGCCAGGCACAGTGGCTCATGATTGTAATTCCAGCACTCTGGGAGGCAGAGGTGGAAGGACTGCTTGAGCCCAGGAATTTGAGACCATCACTGGCAACATAGCAAGATCTCCTCTCTTTTATTTAGCTAAAATAAAAATATTAGCTAGACGTGGTGGCCTGCACCTGTGTTCCCAGCTACTTGGGAAGCTGAGGCGGGAGGTCGAGGCTGCAGTGAGCCACCGCCATCCCACTGCACTCCAACCTGGGTGATAAAACGATACCTTTGCTCAAAAAAAAAAAAAAAAAAAAAACCCCAACAAACCTGGGAATAGACTGAATAGTCTCCATCTCAAGATTTCCTCCTTCTATTGGAATTAACCAGTTGGTTGCTTGTACTGGCATGGGGCAACCAGTCTTAGCCCAGTTTTAATAGATCCCTGTTTGGTGTTACCCAACAGAGCAGACCACTCGGCCCTCAGCCACAGAGTAAGTTTAAGAAATAAAGTGTGGCATGCTTCATTCTACAGGTAGGGAGGCTGAGGCTGGGGAGCCGCCCCTGGCTGTCCCTGGAAATCCCTCTACCCTACAAGAATCGTCCCAGCCATCTCTTTAGCCTAAAGGTGAGGAACAAATCTCAGCCACGATCCAAAGAAAGCTTGGTATTTTTAGCACCAAGGCCAGAAGTGAGAGTGTCCTTACATCTCGGTTTACAAAGAAATAAAAACCATTTCCCTTCCATCTTTTGAAGACTACCCCCGCCCCAGGCTCCAAAGCCGGGCAGGAACGCTCTTATCTCCACCACAGCCATTTTCCCAATCCTTCACCCGCTCTCCACGGTCATTCCGTGTATCCTCGAGACGCCGCCTCCACAGCTCGTGCTTCTCCCAGGTTCGGCTTCGACAAGGCCAGAGCGGCGTCTGCGCAGCGCAACGGCTCAGAGAGCTCCCGGGCCACAAGTGCCCAGCCCGCGGCCAGGCCCGGCCTGCGCCGCACATCCACACGGGAGGCGCGGAACCGGCCGCCTCGAGCTCCGGCACCGCCAGAGCGGGACAAAGGGGCGGGCCGCGAACGGCCTCGCGGTCCCCGTGCCGCGCGGGCCGGAGCGGGCGGGTGGGGGAGGGGCGAGCCGTGCGGGGGCGGGGGCAAAGGCGCCAAGGCGCGCGGGCGCACCGGCGGCGCAGGGAAGCGGCGCCCCTTCCTCGGCAGCCGGCAGGCGCCGCGCCTCCGGCCCGCGCCCCCTGCGCCCGCCCCCGCCACTCGGACGGCCCGAGTCGCGCCCTCCCACCCCGCGCCGCCGAACTTGCTCTAACTTCCTTGGCCGAGCCGGGCCGCGCCGCCGCTGCCGCCGCCGCGCGCGGGTGAGTAGAGCGCGGAGACTCGGCTGGGGCGTCGGGGCCTGCCCCCTTCTTTGTCTGAGGCCGACTTCCCCGAGCGTCCTCCGGGGGCGAGGGCTGCTCCCCAGGTCCCTGCTTGGCCCCTCAGCCTCCTTCCCCGCCTGCCCGGGAGCGGCCCCACGGGCGGTGCTGGCTTTGTCTGCCAGGATCGCTTGCTAGAGGTTGGAGGCCTCGGCCGGGACCCGGCTGAGCCGAACTCCGGCGCCCGGCGGACGAGAGCCGCGGCGGTCCCGGGGCCGGCACTCCTGGTTCGGTAGCCCTCGCCCCATCCGCGCGCCCCGGCGAGTGCGCGCCCGGGCCGGGCGGGGTGAGGGCGACGGGAAGTCTGGACGGCCGCTGCTGCTCGGAGCTCTGCTTCTTGTCCCCAGCAGCGAGCTCTGGGATGGGTGCCCCTTTCGGCTCAGCCACCCACCTTCGGCCCCCCGGAGCTCGGGTCCGGGGTGGGGGTGGGCGTAGGCCGGGGCGGGCCACCCTTTCCCCCTGCCCCGCCGTGGTCGTGGTCAGTCTGCCACGCCGCCGTGGGTCCCACTCTGCCCGGCTTGGGTTTGGGGCGGCCGGAGTTTGAGTAGGCGGTGACCCAGCTTCTCCGCGTTAGTCGTGTGGGGTTGTGCTTGGGAGCAAAGCCTGACCCCTTGACCTAGCCAGAGTTCTGGTAGAGTGAGGTTTGTGGCTGCGGAGTGTGCTGGTCCCGGGCCGCTGCTGCTTCTCCTCCACCCCCAGGGGTGGGGTGCGGGTGGGTAGGAAGTGCCTGTGTGAGGGTGTGTGGAGAGAATTTGGCCCTCGGACCGCTGGAGCACTTGTGTTGGGGACTTAAAGTTGATCTCCGGCGAGAAGCGGTCTGTGCTAGGGGGAGTCGGGGGAAGTTGTGGGCCCGGGTACTGTCCTGGTGCTGGGCGCGGAGCGGTGGTGAGTGCGGCGGTGTCACACACACTCCTTGGGTGCCCTGGCGCGGCTATCCAGGAGGTCAGGCGGTCTTGAGCGGCAGTGCAGAGCATAGTATTGGAGCCTCTGCAGGTGTGCTCCTGGCAGTGGTCTGCTCTCCAGGGGATCCTCCTCCTTTACGGGGTTGTTCTTGGGCTAGTGAGAGAGTGGCCTGCCAAATCCTCAAAAGTAGCCTTCCCCTCGCCCCTTGACCTTGAAGTCTGGAAGCAGTTAGTGCCTGCTGAGTACTCCGGCTACCCTTCTCAATTTGTGAAGGGAAACCTAGGGACAGGCCATCGGAGCAGCCCTATGTCCTTGCCACATTTAAGCCAGCCAAGTGGTTGGTGGGGGCAGCCTTCTTTCCAGGGATCTTCCTGGGCCCTGGCACCCCCAGAATGAAGCCCAGACTCCACCATCATGGCCCTGTATGCCTTTCTATCCCCTTAGCTGCCGGTGTGATCGTAGCCTCAAATTGCTGGGCTCAAGAGAACCTCCCACCTCAGCCTCCCAAAGCACAGGGATTACAGGTGTGAGCCACCACATGCAGTCTGATCCCATCCCACCCCGATCCCTAACGTTAGTGACAGGCCCTGGAAACCCAGGGCCACCAGATGTATTTTCCCCTTCCTTCTCATTGTGTTGCACCCCAACTTCAGTTGGAGACTTTCTGGGTATGTCCATCCCCGCATCTCTGAACTCCACTGCTTGGACCACCTAATGTCATCCTCAGTTTACTTAACAAAGCATGATTGAGATTTCTGTGGGGTGCGAGGCATTGTTGCAGGCACTATTCCAAGTCTGGAAAGTCCCTCACCAGCTGTAAACTTGGTGTGGTCTTAGAACCCAGGCTGGACGTGGCATCGGTGCTCAGTAGTGTTTATTGATCTGAGCTTGATCTCAGCACGGCAGAATCATTCAGGGAGACGGGGGTCTGAGTCCATGGGTGCTTCTGAAGGTTTGTGGCTGCCCCAGGAAGAAAGGGCATGGAGCTGCAGAATGGTTGGGTGCCCAGGGAAGTGTCCCCCTTCACCAGCTGGGCAGCTGTGCTAGTCTCTGAGGACTGGTGAGGGTCCTTCCCATGTGGAAAGTGGCAGGATGAAGTGGGAGAGGAGATGGCCCTGCCCTGAAGGTTGCGGTGGCAGTGAAGGGACGTTCCCTGGGTTCTGGAACTATTTCCTGAGGCCACACTCTAGGCCACCATGTGCTCAGGAATTTGACCCATTTAACTTCAACTGAGGTAGAATTCCTTTTGGCAGTGCCTGTAAAGTGGCATTGTACCAGGCCTGGGAAAACTTTGCTGGTTTAAAATCTAGAGAAGGACAAGATTATAGCAGTTATGTGGAAGGTTTCATAGTGATACTAATAGTGAGTTTATTGAGACTTACACCCTAGAAGCTTGACTTGTAATAACTCATTTAATCCTTGAAAACAACTGTGATGGCCGGGCGCAATGACTCGTTGCCTGTAATCCCAGCACTTTGGGAGGCCTTGGTGGGTGGATCACCTGAGGTCAGGAGTTCGAGACCAGCCTGACCAACATAGTGAAACCCTGTCTCTACGAAAAATACAAAATTAGCTGGGCGTGGTGGCACATGCCTGTAATCCCAGTTACTTGGGAGGCTGAGGCAGCAGAATTGCTTGAATCCGGGAGGTGGAGGTTGCAGTGAGCTCGCAACCAGCAGGGGTTCTGGGGTACCTGCTATGTGCCCAGGCTGGTGCCCTGGAAGATGAGAATGTGTTCAGAGGCAGGGGACACAAGGGGCACCTTCACATGAAAACACTCATTTAGTTTCCACTGTGGCCAGGATTGTTCGGTATAATGATCTATTTTAATCACCATTCTGAGAAGGAACGTAATTTGTCTAAATTAGAAATGAGGAAAACCCTGGCCAGGCAATGGTGGGGCTCCCACACCTGTTGGAATCCCAGCACTTTGGAGGCGAGGCAAGGGCAGATTTACATTTAGGTCAAGGAGTTGAAAGATCAGCCTGGCCAACATGGTGGAAAACCCCCTCTCCCTACTAAAAATACCAAAAATTAGCTGGGTTGTGGTGGCGCACACCTGTAAGTCCCAGCTACTTGGGAAGGCTGAGGCAGGAGAATCCTTGAACCCCAGAAGGTGGAAGGTTGGCAGTGAGCCTGAAGTATCACAACAAGCCTGCAACTCCAGCCTGGGCCGATAGATTGAGACTCATATCAAAAAAAAAAAAAAAAGAAAGAAAGAAATGAGAAAAAGCAGCTCATATTGAGACCTCAAGCCAAGTTACTCTGTGACCTCTCGGGAACCACAGTTTCCTACATCTGTAAAAATGGAGCTGTTTTGACATCACGGTGTTTTTGTTTTTCCTTTCTTCTTTTCTTTTTTTTTTTTTGAGAGGGAGTTTTGCTCTTATTTGCCCAGACTGGAGGTGCAACGTCGCAATCTCG